GTTGTCTACGGGTTAAAATTTATGGCCGCTTAGTCTTCGCAGGTTCCCATTCAGACCAAAAAGGTACACCTGGAAATCAAGATAAAGTATTCAGCGTACCAAAACTGTAAAACTTGGCTGCCATATGGACGTTAAAGAACTGATCCAAGCCTCTTTAAGTTACTTATTTCAACAGTAAAATACTTATAAGTAGGTTTTTTAAGCTTAGCTAACAACAGGAGGTCATGTAATTCTATTTAGCCAAAATGATAGTTTTTACATTTCATCAATCTGGATCAAACCACTACAATGCAAGAAAATAGCTGGTACCCAACTTTTTGCTGAGTTTTGACCAAAATTTCCTTGACCAAGGCATGGCTGAGACGTCCGCTCATTCTTCAATCGGCAGGCATTCAGAACCCCACCTTTAAATCCTTGAATCAAGATAAAGGTGTGCATTGGCGTGTCTTCCAAGCAATATTTTAGCCTGTGATTTTTGTATACAAAGTTCATCCTGCTAATATGTACTACACACAAAGCAGGTATCAGCTATCAAAAGTTTCTTGAAGCTCCTCTACTTGTACAATCCTTTCCAAAACATTTGGATTAAATAAGTGAGAATAAATTCCAAAACAAGATGGAAAAGAACTACAACATATCCAGCATTCTGAGAACAGCTCGTAACCTGATTATCCATCAATCATACAGAAATAGAAGTCGAGTAAGAGAGAACACATTAATTTCAGGACGATGCATGGATCAAGCAAGCTATCATAAAATGCAGTTCACCTCTTACACGAGCATTTTGCATTTGCAAGGAAAATTCAAAAACTAATTACATAAATGGATGATCATTCATGGCCATAATAAGTTCTAAACTGAAGTGGAATTCGACCTGGTCTGGGAAATCATCCTCCGCGCATGTGTGCACCCAATTCTCCAAACTGTTCATCGGCTTCCACAGTATCAGCCGACAAGCGAACTGCATCCAACTTCTGCTTCAGCACGTCTATTGCATTGAGAAGCAATTGAGAAGCTTTAATAGCACCGGTTGACTCAACAGTAAAAATAAAACTATCTTCCTTCGCACGGATTTCTACAAGGCCTGGTTTACCCATTGATTCAGCTTTCTTAATCACCTCTTCGTCGTACGTATATGCCTCGGCATCATGAATCAGAACCTGCAAGGAGAGTGTTAAAAATGAAAAAAGAGACATTATTAAATACTAAAACCTCAAACAACATAATATTTTAATAACATGTGCTTAAAGCATTTGCCGAGAAGTCATTTTATGATATACAAGCCGAATATAGGTGATGGAAGGACTATGGAATTGTATCAAAGATCTCTTGGTCACCCTTTTCTACCTAGTTTGCATTTTAAATCATAATAATAAGGTATCATGTAGCAAGTAAAAACTGAGTTCTTCCTGTTACATTGTTGTTGCATAACTAGAAGAGATATACGAATGTGCTGACTGTCATTTAACAAGTAATTATGAGAACCAAAGATTCTATAAACTCCATCTACTGCTATAAATTCTGATGGCATCCATAAATCAATTCTATTAGATTCAAATATCACAAACCTATCACTTTATTAAATTCCTCTAAAATTTCTCCTTCGATACTAATGACTCATTGTACACAAGACAACACATCAAATGCACACCACTTACAAGACAAACATGTCAAGCTATGATAAGAAACTAAAACAGTTGGACTTGAACCAAGAAACCAAAGAGGTGCTGCATAGTAACAACCAAGCAGTCGTTTACAAGTCCAAGGAAACATTATTATGAATGCTTGTAACTTAAAATTTTTTTTG